CTTAGTTGGTGGTTAGCATAGTGTTAATATTTCCTTTGGTCACATTAATTTTAGATGAGTAGTAAGTTCAAACTAGTCTCTTCTTAATATATGGAATTTTGAAGGTCATTGTGACTTACAAATTGAAGTGTCAATTTTTTTTCCTATGATACTACCCGCTATGTGAGTTAAAAGACGTGCAACTTGATGTTGCTAAGTCTCGAGGACATGTTTGTGTAGCAATTTTCTAGCTTGTATAAGACTTTGAATCTTAAGCATTGAATAAGGTAGAATAAATGCGGGATGGATGTGGGAGACTGGAAAAGGGATTAAGAAGAACTTTAGATAGTAAGTGAATGAAAGTTATTTTGATAGAGGATCAATGTTATGAAAGTTCAAGAGCTTCAACTATATGGTTTGAATCTCTTAGCTCAAAATGGCTAAGTTAAAGGATATTGCACTTGAACATAATCCTCTTAGTGTTGTTTACGTATCAACACTATACAAAATGGATTTTATCTTATGTAGATAATGGATTCAAGGGTTAGAACCCACTTCATATAAGATCAATAAGTATATTAGTCTATTGTCGAATATTTGACTTAATACGAAATAGATATGTACAAATAATGAAGATGGAGTGGAGGTTTACATGACTGATATTGCAACTTAGTGTTGTAAAGTAGAGAAACTGACCCCCTATTTGATATTGAGATGGTATCAAAGACTCCACTAAATTTGATCTCAATTATTATTCTTCTAAAAGGGGCCTCTTATTTAAACTTGTACGTGGTAGTTCTGTTCATACTCACAGTGGTGATGTTTATTATGGTTCTGGATATTTGTGCAATGGTTTGAGATTTTGAGTTGAGAAAACCATTCAAAACTGTAAGAGCTGAACTTCCATAGAATAAATCAATCAATCCGAATTTCTTTGTAGGCCGTGATTAAGAGAGATAGAAATGGAACTTTACTTTTTCATTACATTTATAGATGGATTCATGCACTTCAGTTATTAAACCGATTTTCTTAAGTTGAAGATATTGTATTGATTTAGACTTTTATGAAGTCGAGTAGAAAGTCAGATTATGGAAGTGAAAATTTTAAGAACTGTTTGACAGCGTGAATCTCTGTCACGAGATATCAATGATCAATGTAATGAGAGAAACTCTTATTGGATTGACTATTCTTTAATATCCAATAATTATATGGTGTATTAGATTGAAAAAATGAAATATTGCTGAATATGATGACTGATGAGGTTCAAGATATGCAGTTTAAGATATGTAGTACAACTTACGTATTTACTTTTGGAAAGAGCGTTGGCTAACTACAACATATCAATTAATGGAGTTCTCTCAATGTTGGTACCTTCAAAATATATAAGTTTTGGACACGTAAATAACCGAATATGGGTCATCATAGACTCTTAATGGACTATATATGTTTTCGATAATGAGTGTAGGAACATGAGTCTATTGAGAACTAGATGTATCTCGATGACATACATGTAATCCAAAAAGGTACTTAAGTGAAATTTTGGATGGATATCGTGTCAAAAGAAGTGACTTTTGATATATTTTTCAGTAAGAGAGAAAAGATTGGAGAACATCGTTGAAATTGATATTATATGTATTGATGAATCAATTTTAAATATATAAGTAAATATTCAAACTTCTTATTCAAGTGGAAGTAATTTGTTTCTGAGTTGGACCTATCTATCCGAGTGGGAGCCATCTAAGAACTATCTAATTTCAATGATACTTGGTTTCGAGTGGGAGCTAAGAAGGTTCTGAGTGGGATCTATTCAAGAACTATCTAATTTAATGATTCCTGTTTCCGAGTTGGATCTAAGAGATATTTAATGTCAATGATTCTTGGTTCAAAAAATTAGAAGATGAATTTTGAGAAAAACGATGGAAGTATATATATGGAGTATAGAATTTCGACCTAATTTGAGATATAGTGACAGTTCTATTCAGACATTATATTTACCGAGAACATTCAGACTCTTGAAATTTAAGTAGAAGACTAATGAATTTCTGATAGATAAAGCTCATTTTTGAAAAATGTTATACTCAATGTGAGTGTATTGAGTTGGATAAATTTTTTCATAATGATGGGATTCGCTTCTATACATCAATACTAGCCGTGATGGTATGTTTAAATTTAGAGTTACACCAAATTAATCTAGAGACTGTATTTTTATTCTCAATTGAGAAATAATTAAAGATATCAACATGAATCGACTTTTAGATTTCATGTTAAAGGCTTTTTTTTTATTGTGGTAACTTTATAGTTACATGCATGGTCTAATACAGTCAGCTTGACAGTCGTACTTGAGTTTTTAACAGGGTTAAATCTTGTACAAGAATTTTGTCATATGGACAAAAATTATTGTATTTGTGAAAAGGTCTGATGATAGGTTGTAATTCTAGTTTGATGATAGGTTGTAATTCTAACATTAATATTGATGACATTGGATTGACTAAGCATGATAAGGAGTATATAGAGACCATTTTGAAATGGTTGTCCTCAATTTTTGAGAGAAAAGACATGGGTTTAGGAAATTGTATGATTTGTGCTAAGAATACTTTTCGTATGTTCTTGCTCTATCATAAGAGTTTTATACTATAAATGCTCATGTGGAATTGCAACTGTGACCATATAAGTCTTTATAAATGTCCAAAGATTTCATAAGTGCACAAAGAAATATCCAGAGAACCATATCTAGTACGATTAAGAGTTAGAAGATAGAAGTATACTAAGATGTACTTGCCCTAATATTGGTCATGTCATGGATCTAATCAGTAGGTATCAATATTATTTTAGAAAATATATTGTGATACCTTAAGGGTGCTAATGTCAGTTATTCTATTTCGTTGCCAAACGAATAACTTGTGATTGGAATAGATATACAATTGTTGACTAAGAATGAAAGTTAGTCGAGTATAATTAGTTGTTTAACTTATGCACTTTTGCTATATAGAGTAGCAAGAAGCATATGTTGTAATGTATATCTTCGCAGCTAAAAAAATTGATTGGTATGGATGTATTGAGCATCTAATTATATTGGTTGAGAATATGAGATCCATAGTAGTTGCGCAATTATCTTATATGTTAAGATCTCAAGTATCAAGATGGAACCAAACAATTAATGGTAATTCTGTGAGAAACATTAGTAAAGAAAGTGTTTTTGTGATATATCTACGTAAATGATGATATGTAATCATCATACTCTGAAGATGTCTAGAGATATATTTGTTGATAATATGGAATCTCTAGAATTTCACAGAATATGATACTTGGTATATCAGACAAACTCTTGATTGAGTTTTATGTCCCCATAGATGAACAATTTTGAGTTCGTGTGTAATCTAATGTTGGAATTATGAGATAAATGATTTGTATGCACATATAAAGTATGTCGAACGGGTTGAGATTTGCTCACTCACACGAGCAATCGCCTAAGACGTTTTGAGATGTGCTGAGATGAGACAAGGTGATCATATTGTGTACATGATCTTGTCGCCTTGATAGTGATCATGTTGTGTACATGACCCAATTGTCTTGATAAGGTATCAAGATGAGATTACAACAAGTAATCGAAATGGATTTTGCTATGCATTAAACCTATTTAGTAGCCAGATCGAGTTCTCGATTTGAGAATGCCTGGAAGAATGAATATAAGGAAAACTCAAGTTAGATATCGAGGAATATCTGAACTATGATTTATACAATGTATTTAATTTTCAAGATTAGACATACGCCCTAAAAAAGGGAGAAAACATTGTAACACGTGTTTCATACCACATGTACTTTAACGACCAATGAGAAATGAAAGAATTGATCCCTGTTTCTTCAGTGTGTGAGTCTCTGAGGCACATTTGACCTCACTTATATATACCCTTATGATTTTTTACTGTTTCTCAAAATTTTATTTCAATGTTGCTACTTTAGCATGTTGCCAATAACTATGATTAATTCGGTTTGATAGGACATGTTTAAGAAAGTAGCTGACTTAAAATGAAGGGATTCAGTAGGAAATGAAGACTATTTAACTAACACCTCAACTTGTATTCACCTGCCGAACAATTGTGCTAATTATTTGAGTTTTGTGACACAATTGTGAATACTATATAAATGAGAAAGTTGAGTATATTCTAAAATGAATTGAGGGATCAGAAATACTCGAACTGGTGTTACAAAATATGTCTGAGGTATAGCAAGAAATATAATTTATCTTCTAGAGCTGCTATATATCCCTAACAAGTGTATAGTATTGTGTGCTCTTAAATTAACTCGCTAGTCTCACGATCCATTTACCTATATGAACTTGGAGATGTTGAGATTAATATAATTGATATTATATTAGAATCAAGTCAAGCTCATCATGCGCGAGTGAGAGATGTTGGAAGAAAATGGGTCGTCCATGCGGGTTGACCCGACCCGATTTGTATGGAAATGGGTTTTGGAGGGAGGATTTAAAAAAATTGAATTGAAAAGTTAACCTCCCCACCTCCAATAACTCCCTTCAACTTCCATTATTTATCCTTCTGAAAAAAGAACAAAAAAATCGGGTTAACGGGTGTAGAAGAAAATACATGAGGAAAAAGACTTGAATTTTGAAATATAATATCTCAAATTGAGTTCTTGAATTGTGGCTATCAAATTCCTTTTATTGTGATCAAATTTCTGACCAAGAGGCAGGTACAAGATGACGTGGAAAGCAAGCGAAACAAAGGCAAATAATTCAACCTCAATTTTCTGGTTTCAAGTAAGTATCACTACTTAAAACTCGGTTATAAGCATGCAAGCACGTTTTACAATAACTTATATTCAAATGTTTTTGAATAAATTAATCTTTTGAATTTATTTATTTTTTCTTGACTTCGTACAAAATGCTGGAGACGCCATTTTGTTTTCTTCAGTTCCGACCAAGTTAGTGCCCCACGGTATAATATTTCGCAAAGTAGTACCTAAAGTATTATATAAAATACTGCTGCAGGAAGTCACATGGCTGAGCTTGACAAAATGGTTTAAAATGTTTTCAAATTGCTAGGCCCAGACTTGGAGGAAAACACAAACACTCTTCAAAGAAAAATAGAATTGCTGACTAGTCGAAAAGATGATGTGCATATGGAATTACAATACGAAGCATATTCTGATGGGAAAAAACGCAAGAGAGAGGTTGAAGAGTGGTTGATTAATGCTGAAGACATAATAACAGAATTTGAAACCTTGAAAGAACAAGTACAATGCTGCAAAGTCTATACACGACAAAAGTTGACTGAACGGGTTGAAATAATGACCAACGAAGTGACTGAGCTTCTTGTGCAAAGTTATTTTCCTAAAGGGCTTTTTCTTGAGTATATTCCATCAACACTTCGTCGTAGACTGTTGACGCTTTTAATGGACGAAGAAATCTCAAGAACTGGCCTTTGGTGGGGTCGGGGAATAGGCAAAACAACTTTATCAAATATGCTCTCCAATGAATCCACATTCTTGGATCATGTTTATCATGTCAGTCTCTCTCAAGGGAGTAGCATTTACAAATTGCAGAGTGACATTGCGCAAGGTCCGAAACTAGATTTCTCGTGTGAGAATGACGAGAGGAGAAGGGCAAATATACTCTCCGAGGCATTCAAGAGAATGGGGAGATCTGTGCTTATATTGGATGATTTCAGGAAGCAAATCGACGTTGAGAAGATTGGCATTCCTGTAGGAATGAATGGATGCAAGTTGATCATAACAAGTCGATCGAAAAAAGTTTGCCATCAGATGGATTGCCAGAGAATTATAAAAGTGAACTCAGTTTCTGAGCAAGACGATTGGGAACTATTCTTGAAGAAATTTGGCAGTGTTAAACTTCAAACATAAAACTAGATTAATGATTTTTTTTTCTTTTGACTTTTTTAGTCTATAATCTTGATCCATCTTAAATGTACATACTTGTATCATTAGCCCTTGTTTGAAATTTTTTAGCCCCATCTTGATCCGTCCATGTGTGGATTATTAGAGAATGTATAGTTCAAAATGAGTTCTGAAAAACTGAATTTTTAGAAAAAGGGGCTCGAACAAGGACGAATACTTCTGGTTGAATTGAGATTTGGAGTCATTGATACAATTTGATTAAAATTGAATCCATATATAATTAATAATTAACTATTTTCAATTAATTTTATCTTCTTCTTTTTTTTTGGTCAAGAATACTGTTGCATTCTTCGTTTTCTTCCCCCCCCCCCCCCCCCCCCAAAAAAAAAATCAAAGAATTGTGAATAATGCATTTACAAAAACAATTATCTTCGAGGACGAAATATTAAACATCAATACAACCAAAAATCCAGTTGTATGTTAGTTTCTTTCGCATTAATGAAAATTACGGATGTAATTACTACCTTTTTTGCTGAGTAGTTTACCCCTCAAATTAATAGTTTATCTAAAAGCTTTGTTGGTTTAGTAAAAAATATTGATAAAATTTAAGCCAAAGTCAACAAATTCCTCTAATTTTTAATTACATGTTTCATGAGATCGACTACTTTTATAAACTTTTTAATCACAAATTTCATCTTTTTTTTTAATAAAAATTTACTAAATTTATTTTTAGTAAAACCAAACAAAGTGTTGAGCCCAACAAAATGTAGGCATGTAAAAATACCATTTTTCATTTTCAATATTTATTCCTTATTTCCATTTGACCCAACTATTTTTTCTTGCTTCCACTTTTGACCTTATTTAAAAGAAAATTAAGTTTTCTCCCCTATTCTCTCTTTCATGTATTTATATTTTTCTCCTCAATATTTTCCATCTATTTTCATATCTTTTCTTTTTAATGTTAAGGAATCATAGGACTCTAGAGTACAAAATTCTGGGTTATTACATGTATATGTATCTTCATTTGTTCTTCCTGATCCATGTTTTTCATTTCTGGGTTTGCAATCTGACTTCCATTTTGCACTCAGCGAGGCTATTCTTCGTGACATTATTATGTTAATCGAGAATATTACTACTTTATATCACGTGAGGGGATTATTGTAATCCATGGCGTAACATCTTTTGTTTCCTTTGTTTTGGTTTATGTTGAGTGGACAAATTGTATTCCTATTTTTTCGGACTGCCCCAATTCACGGTGTTATGATTTATTGATTTATGATATTGAACCTGGGTCGTAAAAATTTATTTCAATTCCGTGATCAAATTTGAATTATAAATAATCTTATAAAAATTTAAAAAAAGTGGATATAAAAATTTTATGTACATAATATTTCTTGTCCTCGGCTCCATTTATCTAGTAGGCGAAAATACATTTATTATCAAATCCCTAAACTGAATAAAATAAAATATTTAGATGTTGAATTCTAACGAGACAAAAGTCTAGGTCAAAGTCGTTGTATCGTGGTTATTTTGTATTTGCAGTAGTGTGTCAATAAGATAATTGTATTTTAATTTTGTTCAATTGATTAATCTGATCCATGTTTTTCATTTCTTCTTCTTCCTCAGCCTTGCTTGGATGAAGATTCTAAGACATTGGTGTTTGTCAATGGATCATCGGATCCTTCTTCAGCTGGTGAATCACTTTGTTCACTGAGGTTTGCAGCAGGTGTTAATGCTTGCAAGATTGGTGTTCCCAGGAGTCTAACCTATCTAAGATCTTCATATTCTCGTTTGAGCATTGGCTGATTTTTGATATAATAATGTGTATATAGTTAGGAAATCAACGATCGTTTTAATTGAGAAAAAGAAGCACTTATAACTGTTGGGAATCTACTTATACATGTATAGCGGAAAATTAAAATTATCTCGATTCCCACCGAGGATTCCTTTGTGTTTAGATAGAAATCGTGATAAAGATTGTACCTTTGACGAATTCTACAAACCTTTTGCTTTTCTTTTCGTTCCAACAATCTTGATTCGCCACCCACAACTGTCCAATTGTCCAGCTTCCAACGGTGATTCACACAAAAAATAAGATTGTAGCTACCAGGATTTTTTCTCTTGTGTCAACAAGAATAATGAAAATCATATGGACCTCAAACCCTAACCATATATTTATATAAACCCAAATGGGCTCAGCCTTGTCCAATCCAATATTTAATTAATCCATTTAATTAAACCCGATCCGTGAATTAATTAATCCAATTAATTAATTCGGGAATATAAATAACAAATTTAATTAATTAATTTATTCAACGATTGTTAAATTAACCAATTGACAATTTGCAATCTTCCAATTCTCTTTTGTGTGTGATCCATTAGGTTCCCGACTACGACGCCTAACAACGTGAAATATTATTTTGATCTAATCAAAATTGATAAATTAAAACACCATTTTGATTTATCATCAATTCACACTCGCCGTCCCTGATTGACATCTAACAATGTGTCAGGGCAATACATGTGATGGGAAATGTCAAATGGTATGACAAAACCAAATTCATTCGTTTACCGTAAAACTATAATCCCTTCGTCAATATGATTCAATCAATTACAAGATATGAAATTGTGTCAATCCCGAATTTCGATCATATCTTTCACTCCACTATTAAATCAATATAAATCGAAAACTCCTTTTCGACTTATGAATACACCTTGGCGAAGGATTTCGTATCGACTTAATTGAATGAAACGCAGATCATAATCTCCTACTATCTAAGCGTGACGAATCCTTTGTTGGTCAATCACAACCTTTATACGATTCTTGACGTACCCGAACAATGTCGTATTAGCGGCCCTTTGCAGAGCAACATCCAACACCGCCAAAGTATGACTATCCTCATATAAGGTACCATGACGTCCCCAAGTCTAAGGACCAATTCCACTACCGAACGTTAGAGATTAACCACTGACACTCAAATAGTTATCCATGTGGAATCTCTCAGCGGGTCTCCAATGTTTTGTTCTATAACAAAAACATCTACGTGTCATTTAAGTGTCATTACACTTTAGTTTGTGAGATCAGCTACTTACATCATAAGTAAGAAATGCCACACGTGATGGTATATCCGTAATAACGATATCCGTATCTCGTTATTACTTACGACCACGAACAATTTAAGATTCAATCAGATGTAATTTATATCTTACAATCACAACTCCTTGTTATTAACAAATTACGAAATTTTGAATCTATGGACTCTATTATTTATTTAATTGTCTATTAATTAAATAATAGATCTGTCATTAAATTACATTAATTATATATACAAGTATTTATGTCCAAAGTTGATTGGATCTAGGGCATAATACTTTCAAACTCTCACTTGCACTAGATCCAATCACTTATGTATCTAATATCATAAGTCTACATGACGATCATGTTTATACTACGACAACTCTTTGTCAATAGATCTGCAATATTATTAAATGTGGGAATTTGTTCTTCTCTTTACGTCATTTCTATGTATTATCTCTCTGATGAGATTATACTGCCTTATACATGTTTAAATCATTGATGAGATCTTAGTTCCTTTGCTTTCGCAATGGCTCTATTATTATCACAATACAATGGCATGTGATCAACAATATTAGGAACTACTTCAAGTTCATTTATGAACATCATGATCTAAATTGCAACTCTTTGCTACTTCTGAAGTAATCATGTATTAGGTTTCTACTATTGAATCAATGGTTGCTTCACATTCGGAACCTTTCCAATACACCGTTTAAGAGTAAACCAGTTTTTCCATATGAAATCTTCTCAAGATTTCATCTATGTAAATTGGGATGAGTTAAGCAATCTTTTAGATCTATTTCTATAGATCAAGTTACTTCTCCCATATCGTTCATGAATAAATTCTTTAACAACTATTATTTCAACGATTGAAACATAGGGATGTCGTTTTCTATGATATTAGGAATACGACAATACTCCCACTATCTTCTTGTAAACACACAATTCGTCTTCAAATTTGATAAAATCAACCACTTTGACTTTTCCATCAAATCGAAGATTTCAGCTCCATAGAGACTTATCATAACCTTTAGTTACGATATGCAACTGTTGCAAATAAAACCCGAATGGACTTCAGCAAGGCCACAGGGGAAAGGTTTTACCAAGGTCAACACTTAACCTTTGCTTCTAGCCTAACTTTGTATATATGGATATTCACATCCACATCAACCCTTCCCTTGTAAACTATTTACAAAACCTTATGGGTTTTATTCCAACAGGAGGCTCGACCAAGGTCCAAACCTTGTTCACATACGTCAAGTTCATCTCGAGTATCATGGCCTCTTGCTGTCTCTTTTAAGTCAACACTTGACTTTATTTTATTGCAACTAGCAGGTTCATTATCCTAGACTAATACCTAATTAATGATCATGGATTCGCACCTTCTTGAAGGTCGAATAATCCTACTAGATTCACATAGAGCTGTCATATCCTCAGGAGTCTTTACTTCCTGATCCAAAGTATGTCACATATCAGATATGGGATCAAACTCGAATTTATCTACTTGGTTAACTATATCTGTGGACTTTGAACTCTTTCAAATTCTATTTTACTCCCACTGTCCTCTCCTAGAGTGAACATTTGCTCTAAGAAGACAATATGTCGTGAGACGAAGACTTTCTTCATGATAATAAAATTTATATTCAAATGTCTCCTTTTAATATCCCACAAATATGTATTTATCGGATTTAGTTTCAAACTTATCCGATTTAAGGTGCTTCAAATAAGCGTCATGACCCCAAACTTTCATATAAGATAAATTGGGACTATTGTCTTTTCATAACTCGTATGGAGTTCTATTAACTAATTTAGATGGAACATGGTTTAGTGTGTTGCACACTGCAATCAATGCATGACCTCAAAACAATTTTGTAAGATTTGCATGGCTTGTTATTAATCACATTATATCTAATAATTAACGATTCTTCCTTTTAGATACACCAC